CATTATGACAATTTCCAAGTTAAATGAAACTAATTTTATAGATTATGTCACATTTAATTTTACATTTAAACTTAACTTATACCTTTAAAAAGTTGAAATTAAACACGATAAAATTCGTAAAATTAGTTTCATTTGATGTTTAGTATTCGCGTAAATAAAAGAAATCATTATTTTCTTTTATAGAATGGGTTTGACAAACAATCACACAGTCCACCTGATGGTTAGTGGATACCATGGTACATAGACATCTACATTTATCCTCGATTAAGAATCAAAATGAAATGCGTTGTCACCCCTAAGCACTAAGATGAAATTCCATTAAAAATGAATGACATTTCCATTAAAAAGGGTCTCCATTTCTCTACACTCACCACAGCAGCATTAAGCTGCTATTTTGCGCTGGTGTTCTATGAGAGCGTGTCCTACCTCTGTCGAGCCAACCCGTTAGTACAACCATAATAAAGCTGAAGTGTGAATTAACCACATAAGAAATGTTTTTAACGGTAATGATGATGTCCCTCTGGTCAATTTGACCAGACCCCTTTTTTTATTTGATAATTTTTGAGTTACTAATGCTAACTAATAATAACAGTTGAGTTTACGACGGGCTGTTTTCGGCAACGTCACGTCTAGGCGCGTATTTTACGTGTTATATTATGCAGGATATTCGAGCCATGAAATCTCGAAGAAGTTCAACAGTTATCTGATGTTGCGAGCAACTTCGGGGAGCGATCCCGGCGTGCCGAGATGTTTAGCACTCGTTGCTATCCTGATCTGTGGCTTGTTCAATCTCATTAAGACGTTGGTTATACGACTGTTTAATTCTGGCAGGGCCTTCCTAGTTTGCCTCCAGTCCACTTGATTTTCCCAAAGCTGAGTGTGTTGGTTAGTAAAGTTTTTACATACCACTGAATGAATGTTACCAAAAGAGATTGGTATAATCGGTTCCAGCCCTATAACAGCCATAGCCGATTGGTCAGTTCGTCTGCTGCGTCGTTACCCCTGGATCCATTGATTCATTGACTTGATTGACCAACAATGTGATTCTGACATTGTTGTGTTTACATACCTCATTTAATTGTTGATGACATTCATATATGTATTAGTCTCGAGTTCACCACATTGTGACTCAGAGCTTGTAGTACCGCCATATTGTCGGTCAGAATTCTGATGGAGAGGTCTCTTATCTTCCTGGCATCTATTGCTATGGCCGCTTGGATGATACCCATACATTCGGCCTGAAAGACTGTGTTGTGGGTACCCAGCGGTGTAAATATGTGGATATTGAGGTCTTCCGAGAATTATCCATGAAAACCTTAACCTCCTTTGAGTTTTATCCCTCCGGATGGTTGGTTTCATTTAATTCTATCTCTTGTTGTATTGTTATGGGTATTTCTTGTCGAACACAAATTGTTTGGGGATCTTATCACAGGAACTTTTGAGGAAATTCTATCAGTTATACCTGTATGAGGGACTCTATTTCTACTCCAAAGATTAAGGGTCATGAGTCTAATGACAGCTAAAGTGGCTTCTTTTATGTGCAAATGAAACAGGGTTAGCTTTAGCATAACCTCCAAGGCTGCTGTTGGTGTATTCCTTATGCAGCCTGTGGCAGCCATATATACTAAAAAAAAATTGACGTCAGAGTTTCTGCATAGCCAGAAAGTTATACTAGCCTTGTTGTTGATTTTGTTTTCTCTGTTTATTCTAATTGAGGATATTCAGCATTAGTTTTGTGTGAACATTAACTAAAACAGTTTTATTTGGATTGACGGTTGTCGTATTTTTGCACCAACTCTCCGCTATGCGGAGAGCCGCTTGGGTCAGGTCGCACACCATACTTGCTGTTTGTTGGATCTTATCGGACTCAGCAAGCGGCACCCGCCGCTGATGGAACACGTCGCACGCGTTGGACAAAAACTATGAACGGAAACGCATTGTAGGCGTACTATAGGGCGAAAGGGGAAGAAATTGCATGGATAACATATAGGGCTCGGATGCATTGCTTTCTTGGCAGACCAGTATTGTTAGGTCATCTGCTTAACCTGTATAGAAGTGGTTGGCATTTAATTTGCTGATTAGTTCATTTATGCCCATATTCCACAAGAAAAAGGTGAAGGAACCTCACCTTGCGAGCAACCTCTCCCCTTTTAATCTGCTTGGGAATCACCAGCAATCTTTATTGTTTGTGAACTGAGCATGTTTACTATCCAGTTAATCAGTGCCGGCTCGATTCTATGTCTACTTAGTGCGACATGCTGTGCGAAGTTCGTTTTGTAAAAAGCATCTTCTATATTATCTACGAAGGATCCTAGACATATTTCTATGTTATGAATGGCCCCTTCAATCTTTGTTATTACCTGGTGAAGTGCCGATTCTGTTGATTTGTCTAAACTATAGGCATGTAACTTATCGTGTAGCGGTATAGTAATTAGCGTCGATTCCTTTAAATCCCTTTCTCACACCCTTTCCATCGTCTTTAGGTGGGTCTATAGGATTTTGCATTCGTATAGTCGCTCTTACCTGAATTGAGTATGAATGTAAATTTTTGAGTTTTTTTTTTCCATTCAGTACAACCCATCAAATGTCCATTGATAAAAGTGGAAATGCCTACTTTTAGCAGTGACAAACAGAGATGTTCATCAGTGGACTTTTGATAGGCAATGATGATGATGATGATGATGAATAATTAACCTTTTTAGGTTGCAAGTGTCCATGTGGACAGAAAGTGGCGCCGGCGTTTTATTTGGTGCCGTCGAAAGTGGAGTGGTCCAATATCGTGCAAAATGTACAAATCACAGTTTGAAAATACTATGTATTATATGCTTTCTATGTTATAGTAAATGGATGAGTAGACTATAAATAAAATGTTTCTTAAACCTGCATTATATTTAATTTCTTTATGAATAGTAATTGCCCACAGTATGCTGATTTCTGATATACTCTTTGACTCTCAGAAAGAGTACTGACGTGGGATTTGAGGATGTTAGTTTAGGTGACGGTTTTGTGTTTACGTCATAAAAGATCGGTTAAATTGCTTGACTTTGATAAATATCCAAAAAAATATTTGTTAAAAAATATTATATATTAAATATTTTTGCAGCCTTTGTATATTACATTATGATTTATTTATTTAATCTGATTGTTAACTTGTCTCCTGGCCACAATGGTCCTCTTTCTGAAGATACACAATAGTTTAGTTTCATGTATTAGAATAAATCAGATAAGTTTATAAAATAACACTAAAAATATTTATTAAATATTTTTGCAGACTTTGTTTTTTACATTATGATTTATTTATTTAATCTAATTGTTAACTTGTCTCTTGGCCACGATGGTCCTCTTTTTGAAGATATATAAATACATTGATTCAAACTAAATATGAGAAATCATTATAGATACACAAATAGTTTAGTTCCAATGTATTAGAATAAATCAGATAAGTTTATAAAATAACACTAAAAATATTTATTAAATATTTTTGCAGCCTTTGTTTTTTACATTATGATTTATTTATTTAATCTGATTGTTAACTTGTCTCTTGGCCACGATGGTCCTATTTTTGAAGATACACAAATAGTTTAGTTTCAATGTATTAGAATAAATCAGATTAAGTTTTTAAAATAACACTGTAAATATTTTTATATATTTTGTGACTTACTAAAATTTTTTGAAACTTTTGTAACTTTAATTATTGTACGACATTACCATGAAAATTATGAATTGTTAAAGGTTGTATTCTAAAGAATTATTTTGAAATATTTGCTTCCTTTAAAAAAAAAACTGAAGCGACATACGAATTTACAATCTACCTGAACAAGAGAACTAAGTGGTTACTGCTGCCCATGGACACTTCAGGTTGAAACAAAATAGGTTACAGATACTTTGTCACACCACTGAGGACTACGATAGAGTGCCTCACAGTCTGTAATTATCCTGGCTTCCTATACCCTTCAGACGCGGCAGTAATATGTAAGAGAATTGTACATACCCAGATGGACTCTTACGTAGAAAAAAATCCTGCTACATAATAGTTTTCCAAAAAAAATAAATGTGATTAACTAATCCTGGTGCTTTACTATTAGTAAATTATTGTTTTATGTAAATGAAACTTATTTTTACCTTTCAAAATGACTGTTCTTGGTATTGTTGAATTTTGTATAAAATGAAACAATAAATTATATTGTAGCATTTATTTATTTTTTTCTTTTATAACACCCAACTTTCAGTATATCGGGGAAACAGTAATTACAGAGTATAATTCAATAATTACACTTAAACTATGTACATGTATAGCAATAATTATATCTAGATTTATATACATAATATTTTTTCTTAGCTAGCAGTTTATCCACTGACTAGTATAATAGTTACTTTGTAACAGATACATCAGTCCCTAGTAAAGAAATATATATGGTGTCTCGCACCACCTCAGGTCGTATAACTTTTTCTCACCGACGCCGCGCGATCACGTTGATACACATATAGCGCTATGCTACACTAGAATAACTAGCTACCGTAAGACGGGGCTATTTGAAAACCATGGGGCTATTTGAAAAATAATAAAACTAAGAATGCACACGTAATATTTTTTATTGTATGAACGCAGCCATAACTTTTTGTCGCCATTTTGTGGCGGCGCTAGTGTCGATTCAAAATATGCAATCAGAGGAGTTTATTTGACAATTGTCAAAGGAAAAAACGGATTTGTGTGAAGTCTTAACCCTTAAATGCATAATGTATCAAAAACGATACGTTGAGATTTTTTAACTAAAACTTAAAGCCAATTGTTTGTTTTTATTAGGCTGTATGTTACGATGCCCTTAGACTATTTGTCTATCGGAAAAAAAAACAAAGTTTCTCGTATTGGTCCACCATATTTGTTTCGTAGCTGTCAAAAGTATTCTTGTCAGCGAGTGAATGTTTTTGTGAAAAATTCTAACTTTATCCAGACGAATCGGAGTGGATTTGAGACAAATTATATCAAAAAAAAATATACAATGTCAAGGTAAGTGTTTGTGTTTATAGTAGGTTTATGTATTTTTTTACGAAAAATTGATTTCTCTCATAAACAAAAGAGTTTTTAGTTTGTATCGAAAATGAGACACCATGCACTTAGGCATAAAAAATATTTCTATGCATGTTGATGATTTTCGCGTTTTTGTTTTTATTTACGCTTCTTTGAACTTTACAAATTTGTTGCAGAACTACAAGAAAGAAATTGAAAGACGATGATATAGAAAATATGCTAATGCGGTTAGAGGCTGGCGAAATTTCAGAAGACGATGCCGAATCAGATGAGGATGACTTGGATTTCTATCCGTCTCGCAAAGATCTACAAGCCGTACTCGAAGATAAAGAAGTAAGTGATGAAGAGGAAGTGCCTGAAACTGAAGAATGCCCGGATCCTCCCCTGGTTCATGAAGAAATCTATCAACAAGCTTCGACTTCTCGGTCTAATGTATTTCCGCAAATAAATACACGAAATTTGATTTGGAAAAAACGCTCTTTGGAGTATAAAGAGGAATCAATTGCTTTCTTGGGTAGTACAGAATTAGGACCTGAACTAATGAAACTAGAAACCCCACTGCAGTTCTTTTCACAGTACTTTTCAGAAGACTTGTTGAAAAAAATTGTTGAAGAAACCAATAAATATTCGACGCAGACCAATATTGATCGCCCCGTTCAAATAAGCCTTACAGAACTTCGAAAATATTTGGGAATATTGATATTCATGTCTGTCTATCGCTACCCAAGCGTTAGATCGTATTGGAGCAGTAAATTTGGATTTAGACCAATAATAGAAGCAATGCCTGTCAACAAATTTGAAAAAGTAAGAAGCATATTACATTTCAATGATAATAATTTACACAAACCAGTTGGTAGCCCCGACCATGATAAACTTCACAAACTAAGACCCATTATAGATCATCTGACAATGAAATTTTCTAGTGTTCCAATGGAACAACGCCTTTCAGTTGACGAACAAATGTGCGCAACAAAAATCAGCCATTTCTTGAAACAATATTTACCCAATAAACCCCACAAGTGGGGGTTCAAGCTTTTTGCGTTGTGTTCCTTGGCAGGATATTGCTATGATTTCATAATATATAGTGGAACAGACAAAGAACCAATGCGTAGTAATGAACCTGATATTGGAGTGACCGGTAATACAGTAATAAAGTTAACTAGAAGAGTCCCAAGAATGATGAACCATGTAATATACTTCGATAACTATTACACTTCATTACCACTAATGTATTACATGGCGAAGGAAGGCATATGGTGCTTAGGTACGGTGCAGCTAAACCGTCTAGGAAAGTCTTGTAAGTTGCCTAAAAAGAAAGAAGTAATGAACAGTAATGTACCCCGAGGATCCTACGTTGAAAACACGACAAGTCTCGATGGTGTGGATTTTTCTGCGATCAGTTGGAAAGATAACAAGCAGGTGACCTTACTTTCCACTTATATTGGCGCTGAACCTGTAGAAACGATTGAAAGATATGACAAAAACCAAAAGAAAAAGGTGCCCATACCATGTCCAAAAATAATAAAGGAATACAACGCACACATGGGTGGAGTAGACCTCATGGACTCTTTCCTAGGCAGGTATCACATAAAAGTAAAGTCTCGGAAATGGTACATGCGAATTTTTTACCACTTACTCGACCTATCAGTAATTAACTCCTGGATATTATATAAGAAAGTCTCTGCTAAAAAGAATTTGAACCCTAAGCAGGTTTTGAATCTGGCAGAGTTTAGAGCTGAATTGGCGGATGCTCTCTGCAAATATGGCGAACATGTTGTACCTTCACGAGGTCGACCAAGCCGAAACTTTTCGGAGGAGCCAGCACCTAAAAGGAAAAACATCCAGCAGGTAATGCCCTCGAGAGATGTTCGGTACGATGGAGTGGATCATATTCAATCGAGGCAACAAAATCGTATGAGGTGCATGAACCCAGGCTGCAAACTGCTGAGTAGTATTATGTGTCTAAAATGTAAGGTGTATTTGTGTTCTAACAAAAAAACAACTGACTGTTTTAATGATTTTCATCTATAGGACATATTTTTGTGATCATTTGGTTGCACATTAGTGCTTTGCAATAATTAACAATAAGTCAATTAACGGAAGTAGTACACAATAGAACTGAGAATAAAATTGTAGTTTTTTGCATGTTGTATCAAAAATGATACCAGAATATTTTTCAAAATAAAACTAATTATATTGAATAATGATTTTTTATTTTATTTTTTCCAGCATCTATAAACCATTTTACACAACATATATTTTTTCCAATGATATTGGGTATGTCATGCATTTAAGGGTTAAATCTCAGTGTCAAAACTTCGGGTGCAAACTTTTGGACGCACAAGTGATGTTTAAACTACAATCGTATTGGTAAGTTTATAGTGTTTTGCTTTGTTTTCTTCCGATTAAGAATGTATAATCATCGTCTGCTTTGCTCATTCTGTATTTGTTATATTTTGATAAATGTCGAATTTTGATAAATGGCTATTTGAAATAGAAAAAGGTTTTTTTTGGTAAATCTCAAATAGCCCCGTAAATATAACAAGTTAAGATTTTCATGACTGACTTTTTATATTACAGATTAATATATTTATAGTAAAAACATGGTTCGCAATTATAAAAGAATCTACCAAAATGTCCGGCATGGAAAATATTTTAAACCGTATGGGTCATACAGCGAAGAGTCCCTTAAAAAAGCAGTAAATGCAGTTCAAAATAAACAAAGCTCTTTAAAACAAGCTTCGGAACAGTATGGAATACCAATATCTACTTTATCTAGAAAGTCTAGAGGTCTGAACAACTTGCAACCAAAACCTGGGCACCCCACGTTGTTCTCCAAAACTGAGGAAAATGCATTTTTAAAACATTTTAGAAGTTTCAGAGTTCGGGTTCCTCTTTGATTTGCTGGATTTAAGAGTTTTGGCTCAAAGATACTTGTCCAAAATTGGTAGGAATATTCCATCACTTAATAATAATATGCCTGGGAAAGATTGGGCCATAAATTTTATGATGAGACATAAAAACCAAATATCATTTCGCCTTACTAACAATATTTCTTCTGCAAGAGCTGAAATCACCAAAGAAATAATAGAAAAGTTTTTTGACAACTTCGAGCCACTTTGCAATGATATCTCTCCAGATAGAATCATCAACTACAACGAAACTAATTTAACCGATGACCCAGGATCAAAAAAACTTATCTGGAAAAGAGGGAAAAAATACCCTGAAAGAATAATGGACTCAACAAAAAGCGCTATTAGCATAATGTTTGCTGGTGCAGGAGATGGTACATTGCTTAATCCCTATGTTGTTTATAAGGCAGAACATTTGTGGGATACCTGGATAACAGGAGGTCCTCCTGATACTCATTACAATAGATCTCGCAGTGGATGGTTCGACTCTGTATGTTTCGAGGATTGGTTTACAACAGTAATCGTTCCAAGATCTTGGTAGGCGACAACCTATCCTCTCATTTTCCTCCAAGAGTTCTAGAATTATGTAATAGTTACAATATTAAGTTTGTGTGCCTACTTGCAAAATCTACACATATTATGCAGCCATTAGATGTAGCTTTTTATGCCCCATTAAAGCACTATTGGCGCCTTATATTGACTGAGTGGAAGCAGAAAGAATCACGACGTATCAAAACATTGTCAAAAGAATGTTTTCCTACATTATTCTCACGTTTATACCAAAAATTAATAACCAATGAATCAGTAAAATAAAATAAAAAGTGGCTTTGATAAATGCGGACTATATCCATTAAACAGGTATCGACCTATAGAAAGACTCCCTAAAAAAACAGTAAATACAGAACACTGTGACAAAAACATTTCATCTGCTGTTATTGATATGCTCACTGAGTTACGTATTCCATCCCATGCTCAGAGCCAGAGAAAAAAGAAAAACGACTGAATGTATCACCCGGAAAAAGCATCTGAGCATTGAGGACTATCAGTTAAAAGAAAACAGCAACTCCAAGATGCAGAAAGGCAAAGGAAAGAAAAGTTCAGCAAAAGAAAATAATATAAATATTGAGAACACATCATTAAGTGTGAAATCTTCGGAAGAAAACATTTTACCATCAGAACCACAACCTACATCACACTCTACATCAGGATTGCATGATAAAAAAGACTTACCAACCTACACTTTTAAGGAAACGACAGAGAAGCTCATCGAGTAGTTCAAACAGCAGTATTGAAATGAGCTGCCATAGGAATTCTGACTTTATCAATTGTTCAAGGGAGTCTTCTGACTTAGATCAGACATCAAAATTAGAGACTTCTGATGATGAACCTGAAATAGTTGATGCATCTTTAGCAATAAATGATGACGTTTTACTGAGGTACCATGTAGACAACGACGTTAACTATTACATACGTCGAATAGATAAAATAGCATAGAAAAAAGATTTATTAAAAAAATAACGGAAAAGTCTGTAAGGTCCAAAAGAATATGATTATAAAAACGGTCCAACTCATAGAAACGCAAGAAAATACTTTTATCCTTTTGGACAATTATGAAAATGTTTATTTTTTTAAATTAATAAAGTACTTACAGTGTTATTAATTTTTACCTATAATAGTTACCTATAAGTATAGTGTTTTCGATGTGATCTCATAAATAAGCTGAAGAAAAATTGTTTATTTTATAATTTTGAATTAATTGTTACTTAAGATGTCAACAATATAGGCTTGGATTTTTATTCAAATAACTAAACAATTACAATCTGTTTGCACTTTCTCACTTTAAATACATTTCTTTGTAATGACAAATATCGCCAATGGTTTTTTAAATGGTAAATTGGGTAAAATTTACATTTTCCTAAACATCAGTACCTTTAGTCTTAATTAGCCCCACTTCAAGGGTTATTTGGTAAAGCGTATTTTTTTAAATATTTAAAAATATAATACCTTTAACAATATTTTATATAAGATTATATATGTCAATGCCATACCTTTAGGAAATAAATATTAATTCTGCATTACATACTTAATTTCTTGAACTATCACAATAAATTGTAGTTTTTTTTTTCAATTAGCCCCGTTTTACGGTACCTATATCGCGATCGAGCATTTTAAACTATTGAGACTTATAAGTGATATTTTTAGTAGTAAGTAAGTTTGAAATATGTTTATGGTAATGGTAATACATATTTAAATATTAAACGATTTAATGTTAGCAAAATTTACATTTCTTACATATTTACTTAGAAATGGGTAATAAAAGTAAGCAATTTGGATCTAGTAAAAATACAAACACGTTTGCTTTCACCAGGCAAATAAAAAGGTAAGTTACTAATTTATAAAAATAAAGTTTTTTTATTGGATGAGAATATTTTTTTGTGTTTCTATTCCGGTTGCCTTATCTAATAGGCTTGTTTTGTTTTAATTTTTAGACTACTACAGTTATGTGTATACTTATTTATTTTAATCTTTCCGACAAAAAAAAAATCATTTTGAAGAACAGTCGCGTAAATCTAATGATGCATCAAACTATGATGTTAGGAATGGTCGTTACAAAACGTAACTAGTTACTGAAACTATTCACACAATAGCGGGTTATTGCAGTGCAACGAAACTATCGATTACAGTAGATGTTTAACTCAGTAACACGATTCACGAATCACGAACGAGCTATCAGTAACAATAACAAAACGTTTATTCGACTATTTTCGCGACGCATCGGCGACGGCTTCGGCTGTTGAAGTAGAAGCACACGAGTAAAGAAACTGACTCTTTACGCTGTGGTAGAAGTACACCACACGGTCGTTGAATGTCGATTGTCGAGTGAGCGCGGGTGCTTTTGCATTTGATCTATGACTCTATTTCCTTCGTATAGATGCGATATTAGAAATGAGAAAGTAAGTGCATGTTTTTAACAAAAAATAGTTCAAATTCTATTTTTTAAGTGACCTTAGCCCGGTTTAAATTAGTCTTGTGTTTAAGTTTAATAACACGGTTTGTTTTTACTTTTTAGGCGCGTTTGTTAATATTTTTTTTCTTTTTGTGCAATAATAATAATTGTACAGTAATTAGTGTAAGTAACTAAGTGTAAAAATAATACTAAAACTTTATGTGATAGTTATCAAAAATATCTCGAAGTAATGCCAGTGCACTTTGGGACTTTTTTTACAAAAGATACTAGAACCATGAAGATCAATATTCTATAAAAACATCAATACATGTATTCATTTGATTTATTACATAAAAATGTAGTCTTGAGATGTCTAAAAATAAGCATTGTAATAATTATTTGCTATAAAATCAAACTTATATTCAATATTTTATGCTGAACTTGTGGGTGAATTTATCATAATTATTAAATAAATCGTTTGCCGTTAAATCTTTTCAAGTGATATTTTATCAAACCGTGCGAAATGATTAAACAAATAAATAAATTTAACCATTAACACCATGTCTAATTCTATACGAAACGGTAACAAACAAGTTTTCTCGTGTCATTTCATTCGCAACGTTTTTCCATTAAACACGTCGTGAAACACTATTAAAGTCGCTATTAAAATAGAGTGTTTCAAAGCCGCTATTGATATTCGATAGATAGTTTCGTTTTGTTACTCAAAAAAGCCGCTACTACCCACCGCTAATGATGATACAAATCGTGTAAGTAATTAAGGCGAAAAAAAGTACATTGACCTCAAGTATTATGTTAGCATCGAAACAATACGACAGGTATTGCTACCATACATTTCTTTATAGATTACGTATCGTTATGCACTAAGCGTGTGACATGGTACGGGGTAGGCTGAAGGAAGCGGTCATTCAGAGATAACAAACCTGTTTCGGTGAAGCAGAACTCATTCCTGATTCTGCTCTGGAATGCGTTTGAGATTTAAAATTTTCGGTTACAGTAGTTGTTTTAAAAGTTTGTTTTGTTTGTTGTATTATTAAGTTTTGTATTTAAGTTTTTGTTATTGTTTTGTGACGTTTTGTATATTATCGCCAGTATGGAATCGGGTCCATCGACATTAAAATCACATAAAGATTTTACGTCACCACGAAAGAAGCGGAAAGTGTCGCATATTTCGGAAACAGAAAAAATAATGATTGTAAACGTCGATTAAAACTACTTTTATGGATTTTATCGCGTTTAATTATTTTTATTTTTAATTCCCGTTTATTTGTAAACGTCTATAAATATGTAAAAGAAACGTGGTCTAGTGACGTATATCCATCCAAAACGGATATGAAAAAGAAGACTGCTGATATTTTAGGTATTGGGAAAACTTCAGTTTACCGTATTTTAAATGAATACAAAGAAACGGATACAGTGAGGCCACCTGCTCCGCCAAAAAGACGCCCTAATTTGGTTGAGAGTGTTGAGGATTTTGACAAGTCATGCATTAGAAGAAAAGTGCATCAGTTATATTTAAAGGGTGAGATACCAACACTAAATAAAATATTGCAGACAGTCAATTCAGATGACATGTTACCAAATTTTAGCCGTGTATCACTTTGGCGCCTTTTTTATAGAAGAGGGGGCAAACGAGCATGCGGCTCACCTGATGTTAAGTGACTACCGCCGCCCATGATCAACCGCAACATCAGGGGAATTGCAGGTGCGTTGCCGGCCGTTTAGAAAGGAGTAAGCTCTTTTCTTGAAGGTCTATAAAAACCTTTAAATAAGGTGGCGCCACTATATAGCTAAGGGATAAATTTTAAAGAACGCACCGAAAAATATTAGTGGGATAGACGACTTTGTCGAGGTTATATTTACTAAATAAAATTATTTTAGATTTTAGAGCTACTGAGCAGTTTAGCAGCACACTTCAAACCACAGTCTATAAATCCATACAGTCGTCCGACGAAGACGTCTAGACGGGGCAATCGTGCGGGGTGTGTGGGGTGAGACGCGGGAAGGACGAGCCCGATCTGCTTATGCCAATCGTATTAGTAGCTCGGGACACGACTTCCAGGGTTAACGCGCGCTTGCTTTTATTATTTTTAAATTTAGTGTTGATAATTATAATTAAAATGGTTTATACGACGTGTGCTGTGAAAGATTGCAAGTCGTCATCTCGCATAAATAAAGATCTGCGATGTCACCAAATTCCGCACACGGAAGAAAGGTAAATAAATATTGTTATTATTTTTTACATTATGTATATTTTGCCATGTTATGCCAAATAGCCAACGTAAAAGAAATGGCGGACGTAAAAAATAGGTACTAGTTGCTGGGCGTTACTGGTTTTTCTTCATCTAAATCGTGTGGTTGGACAGGCTAAGGTTTTAGACCATACTATAGTGCCTCGTCTTCGGTCTTTCGAAGTTTTTTTTATAAAATATTAAGATTTAGGGGTAAAAATTTCGGGAATCAAGGAAGTGACACAACATTACTATTTAAAAATGTATTTATTGCTTTTCGAAGTATTCTCCGCGAAATTTGACACATTTTTCCATACGATGGAACCAATCATTGAAGCAACCATT